ATAAAACAAATCTTAAATTAAATATTTTACTTAGAAAATATATAGCTAAAATTAATATTTAAAATTTTATTAGAAAATTTAAAATTTAAAAAAGTTTGCAAGCAAATTTGGCTGCAAAACAATTTAAGAGATAAAAACAAAAAAAAAATACTGATTGCGAAAAAGAAAAAATATAAAAAGAAATCTAAAACTCTGAAGGCACTATTATGACTTGTGCATGGCTGATTTAAATTATATAACAAATACAATATTTGTATATCTCTACTATAAAGCTTTGCTTTAATATTAAATTTACTTTCTAATCTTTCTACCAACTCAACATTAAATTTACTTTCTAATCTTTCTACCAACTCCAAATAGCTTTGTTGCCTGTCCTAATTCATATTTCGAGCCAGGTGCTGCCATCATTTGAAAACCTGTGTCTTAAACTACCTGCTGCTATAATTAGAGTTCTTAGGCTAAGTTCTATAAAAAAGTGCTATATTCGTCTATAAACAAACATGTGGTTGCATTCTGCTAATTCATCTGAATTTGGAAAGTAAACAATACTAATTTTTTGGAAAGGGTAAGCCAAATCTCCACTTTTCGTTAAAATTTTTAAAAGACTAATAGAAGAGTAAAAGAAAGTAAAAAGATATTACTTAACTAAGTAAAAGGAGTATAGCTTGAAGAAAATAATAGAATATTTTGTTGTTCCTCAGTATCTTCAAAAAAGTATAGCCTAAGAGCTTCGTCGATAGAAAAAAAGAAATGTCTAAAGAGTTTTTTTCTCTACCAAGATTTTTTATACAAGGACACTTTCTACCAGTTATCTTGTATAATAATGTTCTTGTCTTGCATGCCAAATATCATTTGTAAAAGAGTCCTGCTAGCAGTACGTTGACCTCTAGACAAACCACTATGTTAGACTACAACTCTCCAACAAAATTTGTATTTTTCTTCTATAAGAATTTTGGACTAAGTGATTATTGGAAAGAGTTGATCTATAAAATATATACTATATTATATATAGTATATATAAACTTTAATATTAAATATCTCTTAAAAGTGTAATAATATAATAAAGTGGTAAAGTTGACATATCTCCAAGCTAGCTTATAATTAAGATATCAAGTTCTATTAGCAACAATTTAAACAAATTATTTGTATTATAATAATAGATTTTTATTAATAAATTGAGTTGTATTAGGGTTAGGGTTTTATAGCCTAGTAGTTTAAATATCTAATAAGGTTAACAGTTCAATTATAGCTAGTAGTAATTAATTTAATTAATTATCTCTGTAATCTTTGGAAGCTTTCAAATATAAAACCTGTAGCAGTAAGTCTATATAATGTATATATTTAGCTAATAAAAATTTTTGAAAAAAGACCCAAGCCATAGAGAAAATAGACACTATGTGTGATATAGGTTATGAATAGCAATACTGCAGAAGGCTATGCATGTAAATCTTGAAGGAGTAGCTCTCAAGTAGCACCAATATTTGGTAATAGACTTTATTAGAAGAATAGCATGAAGTAGTATATCTAGAAATGGTAAGAGAAGCAGTAAATATAGTAAGAGGCTATGGTAAAAGAATAGCTTTACCAAATATAAAACATCTCTGGTACAAGAAAACATAGAAAACTGGCTAAAAGAACTTTCAAAAAGTATAGAAGCAAGCATTCTGGTAGTATAAAAATTAAAATAGCCAGTAAGTAATATGTCACACAACCTATATAAAAGTCAATAATGAAATATAGCAGAAGCATAGGTCCTGGGTTACTGGCTTGTAATAGTAATTAAATGAGGTACTTAACTCCCATTTTAAGAAATTAAACTTCTATAACACCATATCAATAGGGAGTACTATAAAGGAGCAGTAGTCTAATTTGGTAGTATATAATGTGAATACCTAAATTAATGTGAAATAACACTCTAGTATAGTAGCAAGTAGCTTAAATATGAGTCTTATAACCTGGTAGTACCTGTTTGAAATACGAATTAGGTTCTTAAAGTAGCTCCTTTAGAAATACCAAACTGGAAACATAAAAAATACCTACTTAAAAAGACACCAATTTGGAAATAATACAAGAAACAAATTAGAAGTAATGTAATAAGTGATAAAAGGTAAAAGTTAGTTAGTGAATATTGTATAGTAGTATATAAACAAAATATATATGATATAATAGATTTGGAAACTATCTAGTGAGTTTAAAAACTAGGCTGTTGCAGAATGGTTAATAAGAAGATAAAATCTTATATAGCAGATTATATATAAATATTTAAATTAATAATCAGATGAGCTATTACTGTAACATACTTTAGATAGTTGTAACTATACTTATGATATTTGTAACCAAAAATATTTTAGTGTAAATTTAATAAACAGTATTGGCAAGACTGCCGAATTAGACAGATCTAAAATATAGGTACTATTTTTCAAGTTATATATACTCCAAACCTCTGACCTAATTCTAAAATTTGTACTTGTTATAAAATAATTAGAGGATCAATCTAGATAAGTTTTTTTTCATACAGTTTTGCAGTTATCTTTTTTTTTTTTTTTTTTTTTTTTTTTTTTTTATAAGAGAGGTTTATCCTCATTTCTTTTATTTATTTGTAATAGTTTTATAACAAAATGTTAACTAGTATTACATATTTACGAAAGTGGGCATCAGGTTATATAACCCAGACCTAATCTTAGCTAGATAGGTCACGACCTCTAGACTATTTCTAATATATTTACATAATTAGTATATCTATTTACAAATTGTTCACTCCATTTAACTATATAACTATTTACAGGAGTTTCGTTAAATTCTATTGTGCTTTCAATATCATTTAAGTTAATATTTTGATTAATTTCTGTTAACTGGTATTTTTGTGACTCTATTCTACTACAAATTTATATTTTTTCTTTTATTTTTAATAGTATCTTATGATATAATATTTTTATCAACTTTCTTGCCAACTTTTCATCATTATTTAGAAATTTCATTTTTGTCGTTAGTACACCTATTGGTATCTTTTTATCCAAATGTATACTTTTAAATTTTGCAATAAATTTGTTTATATTGACAGCTTTTATTTTTTCTTCATTTTCTATCTTTGTGATGGCTTCACATATTATCTCTTCGATTTTGATCATTTTTTTTTCACAAGACAACCAATATGTATCATCTTCAATTTCTGTATTACATCTTCTATATTCTGAACTAATATACTTGTTCTTGTCGCGTATGTATAGGTTTTTAAAGTTTGGTAATTCTTTTATCAGTAATTTTACTTTGAAGTTCTTTATCGTTGATTCTTTGGAGTTTGTATATCTTGACAATGGTCTATCATCTCCGTTTATATATTCAAAAGTCATTCTCTACAGTACTTCTAGATCTTGCCTATACCACTTTTTTATTCTTTTGTGTTCGAACTATTTGATCACATTAACAGCTTTACTTGTTATTTTAATCATTGATTTAACACTATCTATCAATATATTATTCTTATATCTTGGTATATAATAATTTCATATTACTTTCTATAGTAGTAGTAATATGCCATATATTCTATCGTTAACTCCAATCTTTTCTTTTGTAGGTCTTCTAATGTATCTTATCTTTATATTTTTTCGATTTACTATAAATCACAAACTTATATAAGATTTTTTTCTTATATATTCAATTTGTAGCTGTCTATCCTCATATACTTTGTTAATTATCTTCTTTAGTAAGATCAAATTTGAAGTTATTCTAATATTTAATTTGTTTAGTGTTATTATAGCTACACAGATCAGTGCCATCAATATACTATTCTTTGGTGATATTCATTAATCATTCTTTATTCTTGCTATTAATCTATTATCTATTCCTTTGATTACCGCCACAGATATTGGTAATTTTATCTTTGTATATTATTATATCCAATGATATTTCAATTTCATTAGTTTTATGTTTGTATATATCGTTTATCCTTATGTTCTTCTTTTATCCAATATTCATCATCACCAAAAGTTGATTTTAATTCTTTCTGAAATATTGTATATGCATTTAGATAAGATGTATTATAATTATATATTAGCTTTTTTCACTTGGCTTCTCTACAAATTCACCAATTTGACCATGTCAAATCCTTTTAGAGTCTACCTTGATAGGGTAAAGATTTTTCTCACTTCTTGTCAATATACATTGTGTTGCTCTACCACTCTCATTGTTCAAAATACATTTTAAATATCTAGATAGTTAATTTGACTCTCCTAATAATATTTAGTGGTATATTTTCTTGTACACTTCTTTCCTTTTTGCTATCTTACCGAACTCTTGATTTCTTGTTATCACCTAGTTCAATAGCTCATTGACTTTTTCCCAAATATATGGGTTGATATTTTCAATATCATATACTTCTTGAACCTTTATCATTTCTTCTTGGTTCAGCTCTCGAAACCATTTAGATATTTTACCTTTGAGACTATTATTTGTATTATGATGCACTTGATTTCACTCTGCCTAGTTGGTATTATTGTAATTAAGCAGCTGCTTAGAACCCCGAAATATACATATATAGGTAAGGTGACTTTAAAAATTTTTACTAATTGCTATATACAAGGCTTTTTTATAAGATCAGTACGCAAAATCTATATCTAACTTTAAAAAAACTAGAAAAATACACAAAATAAAACTCTAACATTGGTTATATTCAGGTTCAACAACAAAATTATAGAGGAGTATCTTGCAATCAAAATGGTAGTTAAAACGTTAAAATCAGCTTAATGGATTGCAAGATATAAGTATTTTAGTCTTCACGACTATATGTTTTTTTCTTTATTTATATAAAGAAAAAACATATAGTCGCAAAGATCCACTAAGCCAATTTTAATGTTTTAGCTGCCATTTTGCTCGCAAAACACTATTCTACAAGTTTACTTAGAAGCTAAGAAGAAATTTAATAAGCAAATATTTAAAAATCACAATATTCTTTATAATTTTGTTAATAAAATTATGGAAAATATTAAAATCCACAAAATTGTACTAATTAAACCTACCTTTATGCTATAAGTAAACTTGTTCTACGCATAAAAATACACTATATCAGTATACATTTACCTTATAATTTTAAAATTTAAGAGAAAAGATGCTTAATTTTGAATTTTTGATCAAAATTTCAAATTTAAGCATCTTTCTCTTAAATTTTAAAATAATAAGATAAACGTATACCGATATGGTGTATTTTTATGCGTAGAACAAGTTTACTTATAGCATAAAGGTAGGTTTAATTGTATAATTTTTTGGATTTTAATATTTTCCATAAATTTATTAATAAAATTATGGAAAGTATTATAATTTACAAAATTATATTAACTAAATCTATCTTTATGCTCTAAGTAAATTTGTTCTACATATAAAAATACATCATATCAGTATACGTTTACCTTATAATTTTAAAATTTAAGCGAAATATGCTTAATAGTGTAATTTTTGATCAAAAATTTAAAATTAAGCATTTTTTCTCTTAGAATTTAAATCTATCCCTTAAGGGTAGGGTGTATGTAGATCAATTTTCATATGATCTACGTGGTATATTGAATTTTTACATAGTAAACAAAA